GGTTGTGATCCGATACATTCCCCAATGCTTTCGCGGCCAAAAACACGAACCCTATGTATATATTAAATTTGGCCACAACTCATAAACACTACTACGTAGTAGTATACCTGAAAATGATACAGGACGTTTGCCTTCATTGATTGACATAGTCCCGTTCTGCTTCATCTGGGCCACATGTCGCTTGTACCCATCCGAAAATGCTAATAAAAAATACTGCGTAGTATTAAAATAGTTTAGAAACAAATGTACCTGAAAGTGTTGAGTCCACTTCGGACGATACTTCCATGCTGGACTCCTTGTACAAGAACTTGATCGCACTCTTGTACCCGTTGACTGTCGATGCTGTGTTGTACGTTCTTGGCAACAGCTCGTTACCTTGCTTGTCGCGTTTCACGGACACGTAGGAGAGGTACATCTTGCACACATTCTCTGGAAGAGGTAACATTATGGTTTCGCCCACAACATGCACCGGGTTATTGGCTTGCAGCCATCGCTTGAAGTGCGAGACCATGGTGTTGTAATGCTGCCTTGTACCCTCCAGTAGACGAAGGCGTATGACGTCGTCGCCTGCCTCGGCCTCGCTCTCGTCAGCCTGACGTTTCCGGCCCATCAAACAAAAACTCCTTGTAAGTTATGCGGTATTTGCTACGGATAACCACTTTCGTAGAAGTTTCGTAATCCCAGCCAATCTGTCGATTACTCGATAGGTATACAAATATCAAGTACTGTAAATCTGGATTGGTTGGGGTTACGAAACTCAGACGAAACTATTTGTTTCGCAGTCCTATGGATTATCCGGCTATTACTTTCGTAATCCCCAACTATTGTGAATTTATGCTAACGTTATTATTAACGTTTACGTTATACTAGTAAAGTTACCGATTTAGCAAGTCGTAAAATCAATTTTCGGAACAGTAAATTGAGTCATGTGCTTTAAATTGTTTTTCTACGTTATTACAGGTGATAGATAATAGATTTTGATGGTGATAGATAATAGATTTTGAGCCCGCGTCGACTTCATCACGACGACGTTACTGCATCGCTTTGCCCGCACCGTAGACATCGTCGATGCGGCGCGGGAGAGATTACTGTATGTTATAACGTTAGTGTTGATTTACTAAGGGTCTGTCCCAAGTACATACTTTTAGCAAATGAAAAAGTGGTTCGAAGTAAGCTTACAGTACACTTTCCTACTTCGAAGTGCTTTTTACCTCGTTTTCTGCAAAAAAAAGATTGGCTAATGGTGACTCTGGTTGTAAAAAAAGGCCAAAATCTTCGATATTTTGGCAATTTCTAAGGTCCGTCTGGATGCCACCCACCAATATTATGGGATATTGGAATATTGAATAAAAACATTTTTCGATATTGCAGGAAATTCTTGGGTTTCAAGATCCAGGAATGATTTTGGGTGGTGAGTCTGGATGCCATAGATTTTTTACTTTTAGCAAGTGCGAAATGTGAGTAGTTTACATACTTTGTACTTGGTTCGATTTTATCCATGTCTGAAGTTGGAAGTTTAAAGAATTCAGATTTAGCAAGTCTGAAAAGTAAATCCCGACACACCAAGCCAACACCATCCATTATTCCTTCTCCTGTTCTTAGTCTGAGCCTACCGGTATGACTTCATTGCGCACAATTCAACGAGAGACACATAAGGGCGTATAGTATGTGGATTTGTGTATCATGTGCGACGTTATGAAACGATAGTCATCGAACGCTTTGGATTGTAGGGACTCGGACTAGCTCAGCGGTCCTAATGCCCGCTGCTTTCGAAGTTTGAGGATCTTGTGAGTCAAGATTCTCCCTCTGTTTGGCCGTCAAGTATCGTGGCGACCAAAGATAGGTTTACGTAGTCAGGACCGAGCTCGCCGCCCGTCGTCCATGCCTTGGCATAGGGTGATCAGGCGGCAATCATCGGAGGCTTGGTGCGCGGCGGCGGGGAGTATACTGCGATGCCCTGCCCTGAGCTACAAAGTCAGACTAGCGTCCTGCATCACTGTACATACCCGCGCTTGTGCACTATCCTAACACTACAAAGTCTTAACTACCTATGCGTCGGCTGAAGCGAGTCGGAGCATGTTGGTGTGAGTGGAGATTTCGCAAGAAAACCTCAATAGAGCAATTTGATTGGCTCGGAAAGTAGTCAGATGTCCGCGGACTTCGAGGCCAAAAGTGTGATGACTTCCTCACTTTTCAGACCTGTTTCCGAACAAAGTCTGCAAGCTTCGAAGTTCGAATCGAAGTTTAAGTCTGGAAAGTCAAGATTTCGCACTTGCTAAGGGCGTGTTCGGTGAAAATTGATTCTGACGCATAAAATTTGACTCTAGTAGACTTTGATTCTACTTGATTTCAACTCTGATGGAAAAACGAATATTATCAAGTTGCGCTGACCGAACAAGATTCGGAATCACATCAAATATGCACCCTACAAATCGATGTATCTTGACTAATAATACAGGAAAGTGAAATATAATATGAGGCAGGTCAAATCCACTCCCTCCATTTGCTTGACAACCACCAACATGCACGACAAGGCCATTGCCGTTTGGACTGTCGACTCGGAGCTCCGACTGAGTAGCGCATTCCAGCAGCAGGCGACGAAACCTAAGCACGTGGCGGCCGGTGGGAAGAATCTACGCGAGCCAGGGTGGCAGTGTGTGTTGGAAGCACTCCAGCCATTTGGATTTGATTCCACGGGACAACTGCAGTCGAAGTGGCGACGCATGAAATGCGATTTCGCGGACTACGCGTTCCTTCTCAACTTGTCGGGGTTTGGTGATGGCTTCTCGGACGACAAGTGGGGTGAATTGGACGCCGGGCGACCCAAGTCAAAGTTGTCGCGATTCAAGGACAAGCCCTACCAACACTGGGAGGCCATGTCAAGTGTTATTGGGGACTCGATGGCGCGTGGGGACAATATCGTGTCAGCATCGGGAATTGTGCAGGGTATGAGCACTGCTGAAGACGTCGTGGGTGCAGTCGTGAAACGTGGCGTTGCGCGCAGCTCGTCTGTTGTGGAATGTGGAGACGTCGATCTGGATCAGGGTAATTTGTCTGCCGCGCAAAAAAGAGCAACAATCCTCGATTCTGCGTGAGGTGAACGCTCGCCTGCCATTCATGGCAAAACGAGGTCTTGTGATGGTGGGCTGGGCAGCTGTGGCGGAGGCCGTTGCTTCACAAGAAGAGTTCTCGCGGCCCGGTTTTGACGCCAAGAGGACCCAAAGCCGCTTCACCTTGCTCCTTGAGGGCCACCGGGTTCGCGACGATGAGTCCATGAGAGCATCAGGCGTCGCCGAAGACTACAGTGAGAAGTCACAACTGCTGGACGAGTTGTCTTCCGTTTACGACGACTGGAAGAAGCGTGACAAGTTGCGCCTGGAAGATGTTATGCGTGAGGCGGAGCGAGTCGAGACGATGGGGGCAACAATTCGTGAAGAAGCGATGCAGTCATTGGGCAAACGCAAGAAGATCGACCAAGTCGACGGTGATGCCGGCGGCGGCAACAACGGAGGCACTTTAGCCAAGATGATGAAGATGATGCATGACGATAACAACGCTGACCTGGAGTTTCGTAAGTACCAGTACGAAAAAGACCAAGAAGAGCGTGAAGCTGTGCGATCCCGCGAATATGAAGAGCGACGTATAGAACGAGAGTTACAGGCAGAGCAACTTCGATGTGACCGAGAAAGTCAGGCAACTCAATTACGCATGCATCTTGAGATGATGATGAACATGATTACATCGATGAATAAATCTAAGTAATTACACTTGCATAAGAATAATTGTTTGGATTAAACGTCAATTATGTCTAAGGTGTCCAAATATGACTCCAAGCTTGGTGGATCCAACTTGAAGAATTTGCTGATTTGATTTCCTCCAAAGTAGCAACAATGACAATTTGTCAATAGCATGGCCACACACACGACTTTGGCCACTAGGGATAAACGTATCTTCGACAACCCTTTGAACGTAATAAACGCCCAAAGTGTCTTCATAACCTTGAAGTTCCACTCCACTGATTGGCGCACACGACTCATCCACTTGTTGAAGTCCCTTTGAGCGTTGCTCAATCCGTTGCCCTTGTAACCAGAAAGCAAAAACTTGGACACGCCATACGCGGGGTCGCCATAAATACACTTGCGCCAAAACAAACCAGAGTGCGCCTCGAGGTAATCCAACAAGCCACTGTACCGTAGCATCGTGGTGTCGTGGCGTCTTCCTTCGGCCGGCCCAAAGAAGTGAACACAAATCCCGTCCGGTGCAGTGACGGCTTGATAGTTCAGACAGTACACGCGTTTGTGGCCACTGTACACTTCCTTCTGCATGTTGTTTCCGTCCATGGTCGCTGAAATCCGGCAAACTTGGACTTTGGTTCCATCAATGAATCCAAACACGTTCTGTGATGGTGAGCCCTTGCGGGCGATTGCAGCACAGTAGTCATCGATGTTACGGCTCACGAGCTTGTAGTTGAAGTACAGTAACTTGTTCCAACGGCTGTAGATTTCGTTCAGGACAT